AAGACGGCAGTGGAGCGGCGGCAACACCATCACCACCACCACCGATCTGACGTCGTCTCTATTTCGCCGGCGATGGGTACTACAAAGGCGAGCCGAAGCGATATCATTGCCATTGGCGTCAATCAAAACGCTGTCGGCATCGCCTTTCAACTTCGATGAAATCCTGTGAGCCAAACTTGGCCGTCTCGAACCACTAGAACTCGACGCTGTGTCGACGCCGTAACTCTGAGGTTTCGTCGAAGTTCACTCGAAATAGAAGAACTAATTTTTATTAATGGGTCCCAATTCCTAAACCCACCTTCTATCTCTCTGTAAACCTCACTCGAAACAAAGCAATGGCAGGAACTGGTCGCCGTCGTCATGAGCCTCAATCGAGTCATAGTTCACGGCTTGATGGGTCTCACTTTTCTAGTTCCTATGGATTCGTCTGTGGAGGCTCAAGTTGAGAGCTTAAGTGACGATGTGATGCCAAAAACCACGACACGGTCGCTGGGCGACAAACCCATATTCCTTCTTTAGCAGAACCACGATGGTAATGGTGGGTTCAATTGGGATTTTGTGTAGGTTTTTCTTGGGTTCAATTGGCTGGATTTTTGTGGGTTTTTCATGGGTTCAATTAATGGGTTTTGGTTGTGGTGGCAGAGGTTACAATGGTGGGTGGAGAGAGAGAAAGAAAGGGGTGGGCAGTATTAGTGGGTGGAGGTTGCGGTGGCAGCGACTAGTGGGTGGTGGCTATGGTAGGGCTGTGAAATGGTAGTGGTGGGTGTGAACAGGTCGTGGTGGCTGTTGGTTTGGTTAGGCTATTTTGGTCCAATATGAGTAGGGTATTTTGGTCAATAAAATAGAATTGTATTGGATAAATTGGTAATTGAATGTGTCAAAGGGCAATAATGTCAATTTACCGTGTGTCAGGACCATTTGGGTGTCTTTGTTAACCTTATTAATCCTAAGGGGGCGTCATCGTTCAAAAATGGCCCAACTTATATATAGCTGTCATTATGTCAATTCTCAGGGGTGTCGTTGTAATTAACCCTAAAAACAAAATAATTAATAGGCCAATAGCCTAGCGGTACCAGACCCCTACTTTTCAAAAAGAAATTAGGAGTTTGAGTCTCAGTGGAGACAGACATGTGTGTGTGAGTACAAACTAGGAATATTAAAAACAAAATAGCTAGTTAAAAAATGCCATTTAGAGTTTTTTTTTTTTTTTTTTTTTTTTTTTTTGGGTACTTTTCACCGCTTGAGTGTTTTGCTACAGTGCAAAAATACCATTTTTGGTTTCCGGTTTGGACCTCTTTTCAACAACGGTACTATTTAAATTGCAATAAAAATTACCAAACACACTTTGGTATCATAAAACACTAAATAGAAACATTTTTCAAATAAGCCCATGGTGAAAGCCTGAAAGGTATGGTTGCAAAACAGTATTCAAAAAATCAATTTCGGCCCTCGTTAATGGACCTGTTTTGGATTGTTATTATCATTTTTTCACGTAATCATATGTTTATTTAAAGTTCGGGAAAAAATATGTTTATTTAAAGTTGGGTTTAGATTAAGCAGTTAGGTTAGCCTAGATAGATCAAGGGCCCAAATCCTAACTACAATCTGACATTGACAAAAGAAACATAGCTGCCATCAAGAACTCGTGTGAGGCCCATACGAGGCATTAGCACAAAGCTGGCCCAATAACAAAATAAGCTTTCATCCTCAATGTCTTTACATTGTTTTTGCAATAATTTTATATCGTTTATACAATAATTATATTATATCATTATTTTATAGTGTTACACGTGCAATACAAGACCAAAGCACAAGATCCAAGGGGATGCTGATTTCCTCAACTATTTGACCTTCGGTTAATTAGGTTTAATTAGTTTAAGACTCAACTGATGGGTCATAACTAGGTGAGTACTATATGATAAATTTTAATTAATTAATTATATATATATATATATATATATATATTGCACATAATAATTACTTACTTTTTTTCTTTAAGGACTTAAACTCTTAAACTCTCAACTTTCTATTTTGAAAAGTGAAAGGGAAAGCACAAGTGACATACCTTTGACACTTATATAGTTCAAAATTGGACTAAGATTTAATTATACTTAAACAATTTTGTAGAATTCTCAAAATGGAAAATAATATTTAATAAACTCAATTTTTGATAATAATTTTTAGAAATTGTCAATCAAATAAAATTTACATTTCTATGCCAACAGAATGAAGCAAGACCATCGCGTCTCTCTTGTTGGTCCTAAGACCTTATTTTAGAATAAATATTAAATGCGTTAGACATATAAAGTCATTGGTATATCCTATTAATAACAGTGCATCATTTAAAAAAAATTGATCCACCTACTTATAAATTTATTAATAAAGAGATAATATATTTTATTAATTAGATGAGTACGTATACTTATGATGTGACGTGACAATGCCGGTCGCCCAATATCCACCCCCTAATTTTGAGTGTCATGAACCAGTGATCAGACTCTTTTATGCAATGCATAGCTATTGTTGTTGATGCTGTTGAAAGTGGACCAAGTGGCATCCCACTTTTTATATAATAATTCTTGCTTCATAGATGGGTCAATCAATTGGTTTTGTTTGTTGGGTGGATTGTGGATCATCAATTTTGTCAATCCCAAATTGGAAAGAATGTTGACAATAATTTCAATAAGTCAGTGAGGGTAATCAATGTGAGTATAGAAGAAATTGAGATGACATTGCAAAAGCAAGTTAACATTATTGCAATTGTTCTCTCTCCATCTCGTTTTATTTTTAATATTTGAGAAGACATTTTGCCTTATATTAATGATAGATTGCACATCTAAACAATGTTAGTAGGGTTGAAAAAAATATTACATGATACGACTGTTGGTTCAGATCAATCACTATTAAACACGTAAGTAATTATATCGAAAATGTGTAAATCATTAGGAAAGTCTAAGAACAAGACATAAATTTTCAATATAAATTAAAATTTCTTTTAATAAAATAAATACTAACACATTAATGTAATTTCACAATATTTAAATAAAATAATAATATATTAAAAGTGAACAACAATGAGTAATAAAATTATACAATTTGCTAATTTAACTTTTAACCTTTCTTGCCTTGTAAAAAAAAAAAAAAAAAAAAAATTGAATTATACAACACAAATAACTCAGTAATAAAATATTAACTCTATAATAGAAATTAAGATTGAAAATGATGCTAATAAAATAAGTAGGAAACAACTGACCTGGATAAACCATTGCATGTAATAATTGTTTTAAAACCGTAAGGTCCCTCTAAATACAGTTACAAGCGGATCATTGTGGCTCGAAGTTATAACCCACATTCCCGTGATTTTTTTTAGACACGTCCAAAGAAGTGGAAATGCTTTCTGGATGAGTTGGAATTCAACCATGGCTAGCTATAAACTAAAGGCAATCAGACAAAATATGGGTTATGCTTTTGTTGATACATTTTTGAAGGGCACTTTAAATCCCCTCTCCAAAAAGTGAAAAAGATCATGTAAAATCCAATGTTTCTCTCTTTGCTCTTTAACTTTTTCAATTTTTTGCATATGAGATTTAATGATGATGGTATCAAATTTATTAGAGTTTAAAAAGTGTATTTTTCCTTAAAAGGAGACAATGAAAAAATAATCCAAAAGTAGGGAATGCTGACAGAATGAGTGAAAAACATATTTTTTTATTTTTTATTTATTATTATTTGTCAGTAGTGTTTAAAAGTACAATTTTGAATATATAATCGTTTTCAAGACTGAATATGTAAACAATCACTAGCTGACAGTCACATATATTCCTCAATTTTTTTTTTTTTTTTTTTTTTTTAACAATCAGCTAATAAAAGCAAATATGATTTTAATTATGGACACAAGCCAAAATGAATGTGTATCATCAATGACATAATTTATATATATATATATATATACGCACACACATATAAAAAAAAAATTGAAAAAAAACTTCTGACTTATACACCACAGGACAAACGTTTTCCAAAAGGAAAATAACATACAATTAGCAGTATAGACCATAAGCACATGGAGTCCACACAAATAAAATTTTTTTTTTTTTGAATGGTCACAAATAAAATATTTGAATATACTATAGTTTGTGGAATCACATGTACCCATCACCTTGGGTGGACCTCTCACATGTCAATATTTTAATAATTGGTAATATTACGTTTCTTCTACTTCTTCTTCTTTTTTTTTTTTTTCAAGGTGATATTAAAAAAATTGTTATTGATGGAGTTGTTTATTTATTTATTTATTTATTTATTTTTAAAGTAAACTCGTTGTACCATAAAGTTGAGGGCAACTTAGTCAACATGATATAATCATTTGTTCAACATATATTACACATGATTTATATATATATATATATATATATATATATGAATAAAAATACATCTTTCGAAATTCATTCTTGAATAATGTAACATTGGATTCTTTGCTTTTTTAATTTATGCTTTTCATTTGCCTTTAATTTTAATTAAACAATGTAACTATCACATTTGTTTTTTCTTTTTGCCAGGGACAGACTCAGAACATTAGGTGTAGGTGAGAGGGGCAAGAATAATTTTTTTAAAATAATTTCACAGGGAACAATGACAATATTTTATGGGTATATAATGATAAAAAAAAAGAAGGTATTTTAGTAAAAATAAAAAAATAAAAATTCAAAGGGACAATTGCTCCGACGTGTACGTAGGTCCGTCATACATTTCTACACGTGTTAAATCACCTGTAAAGATGTTAACATTTATATGGGTTTACTTCTATTCTCATGGACACGTTTCTGAACATTAAAAAAACGTAAACAAGAATATCATCAATTCTAGCTTAGAATTTTTGAGCTAGTTTTAGGATTTTGAGCTATTATAAATTTATAACCTTGTAGAACATTGACTAGTCAAAGAAGAAAACTCGACCTACCAAAAGAATTGCAGTTTGCAAGACAGACAAAACAAAATCAGGTACAAAATTATTATTTTCTTATTTATATGCAAAAAGATTATAAAAAGCAAACACATAACAAAAAGCTACAATCCTCACAAAATTCTACAGTTTTTCTGCAGATTTATACTTCAGAGCCCATACAGAGCACATGCAGTGCACTGAACCATTAAAAGATTCAAGCCCATCATTACCCCTGAAATTTCCCCATTTTACCCCTCACGTGATCACATCCCTCCCATCTTTACATCACCAAACAAACATTAGGATTGTCATCACTAAACACATTTCCCCATTTCGCCCCTCCATTTTACATCACTGAACAACCATTAGGATTCTCGTCACTGAACATCTGTGGAGCATGAGGAGGGTATGGATATGATATCTGGGGAGCATGAGGAGGAGGGTATGGATGTGATGGGTGGTACATTTCAGTGGCAAAATTTGGAGGGTAAACATGGTAATTTAGTTCAGGAGCAAAATTTGGAGGGTAAACTTGGTAATTTAGATCAGGAGCATACTTTGGAGGGTAAGCATGGTAATTTAGTGGGAAGTAGTGATGGAGCAACTCATTCGTCTTCGTGTCCACCACCTTGGTCCCTTCCTCCGCCCCAGCCGGCGCCGGCGCCGCCTCTCCGCCACCGCCGCCGTCCTTCTTCTGGTCCCCCTCCACTTTCTTTACCTCTTCCTCTTTCTTCTCTTCTTTGGGCTTCTCTTCCACTTTCTTCTGTGGCTCTACTTTCACTATCACTGCATGTTTACCAGTTCTCTTTTTCACATATTCAACCAGCTTTGGTGGGTCGAACACGCCTTTCACTGTCACTTGTGAGCTCTTCAGATCTGGCTCTGCGTTCTCAACCCCTAATTTGATTCAAATAAATTGATAAACATCATTTCAGATCGATCAATTGGGTTGCTTCAAATTTCCAAATATTGATGGTGAAAGATTAAAAACATAGAATCAAAATTCTCTTTAGTTTAGGGATTCTATTTAATTTAGGGATTCAAAAACTCTGCTGATCACAAGTTAAAAAGGGTAAAGAAATCAATAACATCAGCTAAAATCAATTGGATTTCTTGGAATATACTTCATGTAATTTAACATGGTATTGAAATTGATTGTAATTGGAATAAATTCCATGAAATCAAAATCCAATTAAAGAATGTACTGATAGTGAAAGATTGAGGATATAGAATGAAAAATCCCAATATTTCAGAAATTCAAAAGGGTTACTAAAAAACATGATACTTTAATCAAGAAGAACCAAAAAAATAAAAAAATTGACTTATTAAATGTCACTCTAACCTTGCATTCTTTGGATGCGCCTTTTGAGTTGTTGAGCACAAGCCTCACAATGCATGTGAACTTTCAAAACCACTATGATCACCACCTTAGGCTACACAAAACAACAAACAATAAAATGAAATGGGGCTCAAAGACCATATAACAATTGAATGAATGAAAAATAGAAGTTTCGACGGGTCTTAGTGCAACGATAAGATTGTTCGGTTGTTCTATTTTGAATCAGTAAACCAAACCACCTCTCCTAATAATTTTATTTGTTTTGAATGACGGGAGGATCGTGTTATTTCCAAAAGAAATAAAAAATAAAAATAAAAACCTCTTCTTTTTTCTCTTCTGGTTTTGGTGGTGCTTTTTCTTCAGTCTTCTTTGCTTCCTCTGCTGGTGGCGGTTTTGGGATAGGTGAGAGAAGATCAACTTGTCGGTGGCTCTTCCTCTCAACTCTCTCCACCACTTTGAACGGATCCGCTTTTTCACCCTTCACAACCACCTTGTGTGTCTTGCAATCTGTCTGCACATCTTCTATTCCTGAGAAATCAAAACCCACTGGACTTAGCAAAATGAGTGCGCGAATGTGATTTTGAAACTTAAATCGAATCAACCCAAATCAATTCATAGACATGTACAATAGAAATTTCAAACCTTCCATGGTTTTGAGGGATCTTCGGATTTTTCTGGCACATCCTTCGCAATGCATGTAGACTCTCAAAACAATCTCTTGAGGTGGAGGTGGTGGTGGTGGTTCTTTTGATTCCTCTGCTTTCTTCTCTTCTTTTGGTTTCTCGGGTTTTGCTTCTTCTTTTCCTTCCTCTGGTTTCTTTTCCTCTGGCTTCTTTTCTTCCTGGACAAACACAACCCATTGTTCTAAATCAGTTCCAAAACAAACACAACAATGAAAAAAGAATTAAAAAATTGAAATTATTGGTAGAGAATTTGGGTTTTTGAGACCTCCCCCATTGGATTTCTGTGGAGACAAAATGAGAGAAGTAGGAAGGAAGGAGATAACTGTTGATAAGAGTAGAAGAGCCTGAAGAGGTTCAGACGCAAAACGCTTGTTATATTCTTTCTCTCTCTGAACTGTCTCTATATACACAATTCGTCCAACTATAGAACAGGTGTATGGGCTTTGTTTGGCCTCTTATGCTCATTTTCGTCATCGTAACTAAGGCGGCTGTTTTAGAGGTGGCACGTGCGGCGGATTGCCAAGTTAGTTCAGAAAATGGTGCCCGACGCTGTGAGTGCTTGTAATTAGGGATAGCAATTCGTCCATGGGAATGGATACCCATCCCATCTAGTTTATAATAATTTTGGAGAATCGTTTATTTTATTTGAACGGAGATAATTTTTATTAGCGAAAATTGTTGTGGGTTGGGGGTGTGGGCGAGGGAGATTACCCAGTCCGTTTAGATAGGTAAATTATTAAATTATCTTTATTTTATTAATATATATAATTAGCTCTAGAAATCTTATGTCAGATTCACTCACTTTCCTAGTCGTTCTAGAGACCAACAAAGCGCTACAAATTAATAACGTTCATACCCTTGAATTTTATGTTAAATTATTTACTGTTCATTTTTTATAATGAATTTCTTCAATAATTATATAATTGTATCTGTAGAAAAGAAAATTAAAACAGATGAGAAATTACGGAACTAAATGGGGCGGGGTGGGTGCTGCAGGGGTAAAAAAGTTAAATTGGTGTAGGGATGGGGTAGAAAGGCCCCCCTGTTTAGACGGTTTTGGGCGGAGACGAGGCGGGGGTTTTTAAACGGTTGCGGGGACAGGGAAGGTACGCCCGCCCAAAACCGCCCCGTTGCCATCCCTACTAGTAATTTTCTCAAGAAAATTCTAGTCTGGCAAAGTGTGGATATGAATCCTTGTGCAAGCATTATTAATCGTTGATATTTTCGATTATATCATTGAGCTTTATCATGTGGATTTAATAATTTAATTGTAAATATCTTTGTTTTCTTTCTCTAACTAGCTTATACAACAGGTGTATTGTAATGACCCGATCATTTTTCTTCCTTTTCTTTTTCTCAGATTTTAACGGATATTTTTTTTCCGTTGTCTTTTCCTTTTTGGCTTCGGTTTTTCATCACTTGATGTCGTCTCAAGTGCTCTGGAATGATTTTCGAGACTCTTTTTCTTGGATTGACAACTTCCTTTAGGGATTGTGTCATTTCCATATTTTATTTTTCCGAACACTATTCACATTTTGTCTTTTTCTCGTTTATCCTTTTTCCTTGCACAACCTCATTTTTTGTACTCGGATTTGATTCCGGTTTTGCATGCATTTATGATATTTGATTTCCATGATAGTGGTATTTTTACTTTTCTAGAAAAGCATGTTGATTGTTTACTTCTTTCATAAAGGGACATTAATGCATACTTTAGTGTAATTATTCTTAACTTGTGGGGTTTTAGTGTAATTAAATAAAGTAATTATTTTTCATATTGGGGACCATTTTGCAATTAAATTTGGAAGACATTTTCAAAAAGGACTTTTTTGTAATTTTTGAAAAGTGTGACAAGTGTCACACTCTCATTGGTCCACTTGTTGACATTTGTGTGGAAACACTTTAATGCATTGGATGATGACATTTGGAGGGTGATGATTCACCCACTTGTTGGCCTAGGATTGGTGCACTTGTTGGTTTGGATAGTTGACAAGTGTAGGTGTGGGATTAAGCCTAGGAAGGAGCCATGAATTGGTGACAAGTGTAGTTTCACAATTTAGTCTTGCAAATATCTTTGGGCCATTTTGGGATTATGGTTTTAAAGGAGGGTTTTTGTGCAATTGATCATAGATATGTGTGTTGACCATGGTGTAAGATCACATAGTGAGTTGACCATGGTGTAAGAGCACATAGTGAGTGGAGGATTTCTATTTCCTCCACTCACACTTAACCACATTATTTCATTCTCTTCTTTACAAGAAAACCCTAGCCTCCATGGATGGAGCTTGAAGCCTTAGGCATTGACCTTGATCTTTGAGGCCCTTCCACTTACTTTAGACCATAAAGCTTGGAATATTTTTTGTTCCCCTCATCCTCCTCTTCAAAACTCTTGAAGGATCTAGTCTAACTCCTAGTTTTACTTTGGTAATTAGAGATTCAATTCTCTAGTAAGGTATTGATCTATTATTTTGAAGTATTTTTATATCATTACTGAGTGTTTTACATGCATGGAAGATAACGACTTGTATTTTGCCCTTAAACTATTTTAACTTGAAATTAATCTTGTCAAATTAAATATAGAATATGAAAATATACTCAATTAGATTTCATTTAGTTTTGGTTTCATGTAATTTAGATATAAAATGAATTAGTTATGAATTTTTGAAGTTGCAAGCTAGTTGCTGGAAATTTGAAGCTTTTCATTTTCAGTCCAGAAATGAATTTTTATATGGAGTTGTGGTACTTCAATTGCCTTAAAATTTTTACTAGAACTTCCCCCATGGGTTTTACACTACTTAGAATTTTTTCATGATTTTAGAGCATTTCTAAATTTTTTTAAAAATCCGAAACTATCTGCTGTCCATGTTTTTATTGCAGCTGGAAAATATATTTTTAGATAATTTATTTCACTAACCTTTTGACATTGGATCGTGGTTTAAATTTTCAGTTTTACACTCTCATATGTTTATTTCCAAAATAAATTAGGTTTGCCCAATTTGGATGTCAAATGAATTTTTTATGAATTTTCAAAATTGGAAGCTACAGGTTGAAAATGTGTTTTCTGGGCAGAATGTGTTTCAAAGTTGTGGGTCAAAACTGTTTCAATTGGGAAAATATTTTGTTAAACTAAATTGATATTATTAAATTACAGTGTTTAAGCTTTCATTGGACTTTAGATTCATTCAATTTGGGTTAGAATTGAATTTTTTATGAATTTTACAAGTTGAAGGTAGCAAGCTGAAAAATCTGTTTTGCGGACCGAAAATTTGGGGCAATTTCATTTCGGTGGTAATTGGAATTTTCATTCCAATTGAGGTAGGGAATGTTTTAGGATTATTTGTGTGTTGTATTGTGTGTTTGCCATGATTATACAACATATATGTATGCCTTGTATCAAATCTAGAAAGTTAGTAATTTTTATTTTTTTATATAAGATTTAAAATTTATGATGATGTATAACTTTGATTTGAATTGTAAGATACTAGGAAATTATACTTAGATATATTGGTTAACATATATTAAATTTGGATCATTTGATTAAGAATTACAACTTTTATTTAATATTTATCTTTAGTGAAAGTTTAATTCACATGGTTGCATCAAACATTAAATCAAGTTGTAATATGGTATTTAAATAGGTCTTGGCATGTTCTCTAACATAGATTAAATTGAGGGCATTTGGAATTATTTAAAAATTTAGAGGAAATTAATTAATTAGCTTGATTAATTTTGTTTTAAGTGTTTTAATCACTTAACATGTCATTTGATGTTATATATATGATGACCATGACATGTCTTTCAATATATATTAAATTGAGGTTATTTGGATTAACTTGGAATTTAGAGAATTTAACTATTTATGTTTAATTAAATTCTACTTTATTACGCTATGGATTTAATTGCATTTTGGAAGTTGTTTCTATATTTAAATCATGGATTTGGATTTGATGTATGTTCACTTGATTACTTTTGAGCATTGGATAACATAGTTGTTACTTTTATATTCATGAGAATATGTTTTTCCTTATTGAATATATTGTTGCTATGTGTAAGGAATTGCACACTTTGTATTTGACATCTTACATGCCATAGTAGTTATGAATTTTGAGCATGTATTGTATAAGTTTCCAAATTTTGGATTGTGCTTGGTAAATAGTTGATATCTTGTATATACATGTTGATATATATACGTTGTTGTACAATTTGTTAATTTTGAAAACTTGGGGATGTCGTTGTTTGGTTACAGTTAGGACTTGGTTATAGTACGGGGGATTGTCCCTTTATATAGTCTAGTGCGCACATAGGGAGGTTACCCATGGGCTAGTAACCCTAAAGTAACTATGTTGTCGGTCTGATCTGGCGTGACGTCCGAGTATCCACTTTGTTTGATTTCGTATTTCATTTCAAGTTGATAACTAGATGATATCGTAACTTGTTATTCCTTATTTGATTTCCTATTTTGAGCTTAAGATGTAGCTTTGTGCAAGCATGCTTCATGCGTTGTATTGGAAGTTCCATTGTTGGTTAAGTTGCATCCATATCATAATTTGTGTTTTGATGTTCAAATGTAGTTTAGGAATGACCTTATAGATTCATTTTGAACATAGACGTTAGGTGGCATGATCCACGCTTGTTGTTTTCGTATTTTGGATTTCAAGTTGAAGACTTTGAGAATCTATATCTTGTTGCCTTGTATAACATGTTTCCATGTTATTTGAATTGCATGAACAATGTGATTATGATAGAAATGATCTAGGTAACTTAGGATGCTCCCTAGGTCTCATCTTGACATAGACGTTAGGTGACATGAGCCCCTTTAACATGTTTCACCATAAGGTGATAAAATTGTAAAATGTTAGGTCGATGCATGCTCATCTCCTACGAGTAGCTTTATATTACTCACCCCTACGATACTGGGGCATATTTCAGGTACAGGACTCAGGATTTGAAGATTCCATTGCTCCTTGGATGGCTTACAGTTTCTAAGTTTCTATTTTATGCAAGTGTTAGCATAAGATGCCTTTTTGTAGCCCTATTTGTTTAAATTTGTATTCGTTGATTCGTATATGTAAAGTGTACGCAAGTGCACTCTTTTCAATGTATTTAACATGTATGAGATGAGGCCGGAGGCCAATGACATGTTTCTCATTTTTTTTGCACTTTTGTTTTTAAAGTCTATTATGAAAATATTAGAAAATGTTAAGTCATTGCTTCATAACTTTCGCATTGGGTGTTTGAATTTCATATCTTTTCTGCCCGGACTCAGAATCAGACGATTCTTGAGTCTAATTTTGTTCATTTTTCGTTGTCCTTCCAATGGTGTGCACGTTGGCACCCTTTTCAGTGAGAAATGACCATTTTGCCCTTAGTTCATCTCTTTTCGGGTTAGGCATTCTTGCTTCATTTGCTTGGCTCATTTGAGT